GCGGACGCCGGGACACCACCCTGAAGGACTGCCCGGACTGCGGGGAGGCCTGGAGGGCCGAAGGCCCCTAGTCGAGGGACGTGGCCACGTGGGACCCGCCCCGTCCCCGCGCGGGGACCAGCTCCCGTCGATGCGCAGGCGCGCCACGGGATCACCGCCGTAGGCGAGGGAGGCGAGCCGAGCGACCTGGGGCGTAAGGCCGCCGAGGGAGCCGCGTCCTACATAATGTTTTTTTCTTTTTTTCCGTTTTGCGCTCTTTTCTTTGTTTTTCTCCGCTTCCCCGCGCGTCATGCCGTGGCCCAGATCATTTTTTTTGTTTGTTTCCGTTTGATCCAGGTTTTCTTGTGCGTTCCCGCTTTGATCAAGATTTTTCTTCGTTATTTTTTTTCGTTCGGTCCAGATTTTTCCTTTGCGTTCCTGTTTTGATGAGGGCCCTTAGTTTTGTTTTCGCGTCAATCATGATCTTATTTTATGTTATCGTTTAGATTAGGACCTTTTTTTTCGTTCGTTGTTCACGTTCAATCGCGATTTTGTGCTCTCGTACGGGTAGCGATTCCTTGTGAGCTGTGACATACCGGGGGATAGGGCTGGCCGAATCGGCTGTGGTGCGACGGACTTTGTGAGTTCGCCCCAGCGCGCCTGATACCATACGAGGTCCCTAAATAAACGGCGCCGCCAGAAAACCTGCGAAACCTTTATTCTCCGACCTTCCCCCGCGCCCGGCGCCTGCGAGCGCCCCGGACCGTTACTTCGACGCTGTCATTGGGAGCCGATGAGCCCCACGGTACTGCGAGATAGCGATACTTGCGACCGTCACGGTTGCGCGAGTGTGTTTGTGTTCGTCCATTGTGAGTGGGCCTGAGCTCTGGAGGCTGCGATCGCTCTCTGACGCCCGAACCGAGACTCGGGAGTCGGACGGGGAGCTGATGGAGGGGGATCGTCGCCGGCGCGGTTTCTCTTGGGGGTGAGGGGTGTGACGTTGCCGTCCCGCGTGCGCGTCCACCGGGTTCCTCCCTCAAGGCAACAGGCCGAGATTAGGGGAAACCGTGCCGCAGTCTCCAGAGAGGCGACCGTTAGAGATTCTGTCGTTCCGACGTTGTTACTGATTATTTGTTTTTTTTGTTATGATGAATACGAGCGTGTGAGTACGGATGGACGCGAGGGCAGAGGAGAGACGAGAGGCCCGGCTAACGGACATATTCCGCGGCGAGCACGGTGGAAAGGCGTGCGGAGCGAGAGCGGAGTGCGCGGAGCAGCGAGCCGGGAGGAAGGAGCCCAGGGCCCGTGGCACGCTACCTGAGGGGCGTCAGCGGGGGAGCCGCTGCGACAGCCCTATCGAGGGAACGCGAGGAAATTTGGCGATACCGCGGGCA